GCAGTTGGTATTGAAAGTTGATGGGTCAATGCACCCGGTAATCTTATGGCTCAAGCCATGACCAAAGCGGTCGAAGGTTTCGTAAAAAGTGTGCCCTTGGTTTGGGGTCTTGTTGGTTTGACTGGTTGTTGGCTGTTCCAGGGGAATCAAGGGTTTCTGTTGGGGTTGACTGTTTGGTTTCTTGTCCCCCTTGGTTGCCCCCCGTAGGTTATGAGCCCAAATTAGGCTCCCTGTGGGTTGATTAAGATTTTATCTTTGTTTGGCGCCATGGATATGATGCGGCGTCGATCTGAACCTGGACCATTATCGGCGGCCAATGATGCCGAAGAAAATCGTGGTGATGGGGGTGAAGAACGACAACAAATGGTACAAGCGCTGACAGATGGTAGGGAGGTTGCAATGATACAACCAACGTCTCAGGTGGAAAACGAAGTGGTTCCGGTTCCAGCAGCGAATCCTTTCTGGAGCGAGCGGGCTCATGAAGAAATGAGACTGAGGCAATCAAGGCCAGCAAGTCTTCCTGCGAGCGGAGGGGATAGAAGTGGTGAAGAAACAAGAAGGCCACCGTCGTTGCCAGAACTTCGGGATCGGGAACCTGCCCAGCTGAGAGGCCATCGTCAGGTTTAATGGGCCAGATGGAAAGAGGTAATATTGGTGAGACACAAGGCGAGGAAGAGCTTATTCCTGATCTGAGTGGTGAAGAACAAGGTGAAGATATGGCGGTGGTAAAGCGTGCGCTGAAAGAGTTGCTTGTGCAAACAAAGGAGCTGGGGAACAGGTTGCATCGGGTGGAGGAGAAAAGCTATACCTCTGCTGCATCTGGGTCAGCTTCGAGAGCACGGAGCACTGGAGTGGTGGACGCAAATGCTGCATATCCTTTGGGAATGACTCCAGAGAAGCAGTACCTGCCAGGACAAGTTTTCTACACTGATGGTATGGGTGGTTTCTGGACTGTGTTGCCTGATGGGACATGGCTGCCGATTGAGGGCTACGACCTTCCAAAGGGTTGTGACCTTCAACCCTTGCCTGAGCCCAGAAAAGGGGATGTTCACGTGGAGGATGAGAAAGAAGTGCCAATGATGCACGTAACTGAAGGGAAGAAACCCTCCAGATTGCCTCCATTGAATTACCCCATGGGAGGTTCTGCAAGTGGTGGATATGCAAGTGGACCACCTGGTTTAACACATGTTCCGATTACTTCCTTGCCGTCAGGCGTTGATGTTTCTGCCGCACTGATGGGAAATCAGCCCGGTTTTGTTTCAGCTCGGGAAACTTCGACGCAAGAGAACTCAGCAGGATCGGGTGGATATACAATGGTGGATGATGTTCCATATCGGTGGAAAATGATCGCTGGGAAGTTGGAATTAGAAAAGGTTCCGCTCACAGCTTTTACGCCCGGAATGGGACATGGACTGCCTCAAGGGCCTGGTGGAAGGGTCAGCTTACCTCCTGGAGCGGTGGTGCCACGTGGTATGCCAAACATTGGTGATAGTTCTGGAACTGAACGTCCGGAGGCTCTTGGGAAGCATGTGATGAGCCTTCCTACTTTGGCAGACTACACACCAAGCAATCCGACGGCACTAGGTGATTGGATCGCAATGATCGAGCCAATGTTGTTTTCACTGACAGATACAGGAAGAGTGTGGTGGCAATCCCTCTACACAAAGGCGTATGAAGCATACACCAAATGGTTGAGTGTCTCTCCGCTGGAAAGGTTGGGCATCAAGGCTGAGCTGGAAGGGCTCAAGGGGGTTCGAACTGTGCATGTTTTGTTGGAGCAGAGAGCGGCGTCTTTGCTGCTACAGGCGATTCCGGAGAGATTGAAGACCGAGATCGTTTCCACTCGAATGTTGGGGTCGGTGATGATATTTTACAAGTTGCTGACAGTCTACCAACCAGGTGGAGCAAACGAGCGCAGCACAATGTTAAACTTCTTGGTGCAACCATCTTCAGCAACCTCGATCTCAGAGGCTATTAAGGGAGTGCGACAATGGGCGCAATGGCGTCCCGATTAAGGGAGCTGCGAGCATCCGAGCCGCTACCTTGCTTATCAAGGGATTGGATGGTTTATCATCCGCGTTGCTGGCAAAACACCCTACGGTTCATTTCAGAGTGGCATCCTTTCGGGAGAAATTGGGGGTGGACTACTCACCGACCTCTGAAACTGCGACACAACTAGC